GCTAGCCGGGCCAATTTTGCTTGCTGCTTTTGCCACTTGCGACAGTTTTCTCCCTTTGAACAGGTATGCAGCTTTGGCAACAACTGCTCGATCGCAACAATAGAGACTGAATCCTCGGGGACGAGATCTGTGCCATGACGACGCTTGTGCCGGTGGCGACGTCGGCGTTGTCCCGACGCGGTCCTAGGCTTCTCCTCTGTAGTCGGACTTGTGCACTCAGTCACACCTACGTCAGCTGCAGTCGTGTGTGGCGTTGATGTGTCTTCTCTTGAAGTGGGATCTAACGAAGACTGGGAGCCACAAGTACTAGAAGCAGTATCCCGCAATTGCCGAATGCAGCCCATCAGACGATGCCGCTTCCCGAAGGATTGAATATCAAGCTCTTTTAGGTCATCCGCTTGGAGTTCAAGTAGAATGGAGCCGGAAATATCGTTGACGAAAAATCTCTCGATAATCGAGTCATCAAACCCTTTGTTCTGCATCCACATAACGACATCTTCGGGGGACCAGGATGAAACATCAGACTCCGAAGGTCCAGATGTAGACTTGTTCACAGTCATCTTCTTTGCATGTGTCTTCACGTTTTGCTGTGCATTTGTATTGTCTGGTACAGGTGCATCCATTCTCCCAGAGTCGAATTTGGAAGCAAAAGAGTATAACGGAGCCATGGCACTAGTGGGGTAGTCTTCCGCAACCAAGTTAACACCAAGAGATGCTTTCATCTCCGAGGAATCTCCGGAGAGTCGGAAGAGGTGTGGTCCCACTGGTCCCTTTACCGGGCTTTCATCAATGTGGAAGTGAAAAGCTGTGAGGCCAGTAGAATCCGGAGTCTTGACATCGTCTGGCGTTGATGCGGTGGTCACACTTTCTGTCCCAAGCTAAAGCAACCTCGAGTTAGATTGGACCCTAAGAACCATTTGGAAGGGGATACGAACGGATCTTACGCTCTTTCGAGAGTAGTCATCCGAATAAGCCTCCAAAGAGTCCGAATCGAAGTCCGTATCAATGATCTCTGTGGTATCGGAATATGACTCGGGCCGAGTGAGGGCGAAATTCGGAGGGAAGGCCATTGTATCGTGCGTCTGGGGGGGCTTTCCAGACGAGCAAAAGGAGCTGACTGTCGTCTGTAGACATGATAATTAGCTTTTCCCCCCTTCGTTCTTTCTTTCTATGTTCCGGAACAAAAGGATAAGAGAGAACTACCATCTTGATTGATTGGTCGATCGCTTCGAAGCCAAAAGCACCCTGGGCCAGCCCAAGGTAGTCTCGAATAATCGTAATGGCCACAATAAACTAATGCTATCATGTCAGGCACCGCACATATCACCGTACATGTAATAGGGACGACGAACATTGGGGGTTTCTCAATGGGACGGCAACACGTCCAAGAAGAGTGACTAGCAAAAGCCGTCACATAAATAGCGGCGCTTAGGTCACGAGGGGTGTACAAGGAGAGGGGACGGTGGGATGTACAAGCGTTAGGGCAAAATGGCCCTCACCCCGGAAATATGGTGGAATTAGCTCGATATATAGTTGGTGAAATGCATGAAGAGGAGGGAGATCCAACATGTATAAGTATACCGTGGACTGTGGCATCCTCGCCGTCGGGGACATGGTTTAAAAAAAGAACCGGCACGGCCAAGGACGAGTCTGTGACGGTAAAAAGCCAATGAATATCGGGTCTTGGAGGTATGTGACAGATAGAAGCCGCGTGCATGAATGAGGGGAGCACCACGCAGCATTGATTGGGATCAAGCCCATCGTTGCATTTGAGCGATCGAGGTTCACCATTTAATTCGTGGATAACCTTCGAAAAAGGCAAGCCGGCGGTTCAGGAGACGGCCAATCCTAGTGTTTCATTGGGTGAAACGTGATGCTGCAGGATCCTTCAAGGTTTAGTACCTTTGGGGAGGGCGAGTTTTCCTCCAGAGGGAAGTTAAACATGGCACTGGGCACAACCGTGACGGAGAAGAGGGGCGGGAACGCCCGATGAGAGGCCAACGCCCAAGCGCTACTGCTGTGACAACGGCTGGGGTTGGCCAATAATGATCCCATTAAGCTAGTTTTAGTGCCGGTTAATCACCTCCTCAAAGTTAGTTCATTGATAAATATAGCTCCTTACAGAAGAATTAATTGTGATTAACTACGTAACCTGTGGGCTAATAGTTCCTAGAATAGTATCAGATGTGATGCGATGCTACCACCTTCTAGTATACCCCTCACTGCATAGTCAGTACTAGTCCTATTAGCGGGTGTAGCATCCAGGCACTATCGTCATTTTCATGCAATGTTGCAGAGACTCAACTATTACTATTTAAGTAACTTCTCTTCAAGCTATGCAGTACTAATAAGTATCCCCTTTCTCTCGCCATCCCATTAATTATTCGACCCTTATTGTTCCCCTTGGTCTCAATCGGTTCATTTATATTCCGCACACTATATGTGTATTTTTTCTACTCTGCCCTAGATAACCTTCTTTGCCTGCATTACGGCTTCTAAATCGTATCGCCTCATTCATTGCAATTCTTTTTTGAAGAGCACATCCCCTTTTATACAATGCAGCATCTGAATGCTGAACCGAAAACAATGCAGGTCTGGCTTGCCACATTCAACCGTTGCCAAAGTATCCGAGAGCTTCACTAGCCTTGCGACATACGGAGTTGAAACGATTTTAGTATAGTGGGATAGAGGCCCGAGCCCTTGCTGTTCTTAGTTTACTTTGGTGAAATGACTACATTGTGTGAAAGTCATGAGGCAGTTGCAGGTGCATGCCATTTTGCTCACCGTAATTTATCTTCGCCGTTTCTCGCTTCCTTCGTGGGGTTTTTTTTTTTTTTTTTTTCCTCCCTCTCCTTTCCCCGCAGACCTTTAACTTGTCGCTCACCCAATGCAACAGATTGCTTAAAACGGGCCGCTTACGAAATGTCCACAATTGTCAAGAAATGAGCAGTGATTCAGTACGTTCATTCATCATCAACTCTACCTCGCATAGCCGTACTAGAAGTCTTGAAGCTTTATATAGATTCCATGATCACCAATTGACGGAATCAGAGAACATATAATTTCTAGTATTATTTACCAGTTGGTGCCATTCTAGCAATATTAATGCAAATCTCAGCTGATCTCATATTGATCAATTGATGCAACGACCCTGAAGCGTAACCAAGATCGACGATTAAGATGTCAATTACTGAAGCATATCTTGCTTCTCAGAACTTTATCTGCCTAAAGATGGAAGTCAGGATATGCCTGCAACATAGCAGATTACAAGTAACACTTTGTAATATGGGGCATGTGGATAGATTCACATTGCCGGAGAACCTCCAGAGAATGCAAGGTTGGGGTACACATGATGAGGGAGTGGTAGATGAACGTTAAGAACACCCAGTGACGTTCAATTGAAATGATCGTATGAGAGATTGGATACTCTGGTCTTTGGCCTTCAATCAGTTACATTTTTGCTTGGATGTATAGAGCTGTGAGATCACGCCATAAAGGCACCGATGTGACTGTCAGAGCATATCCGCAGCAATACGTACTAATATCACCTTCTATACAGATATGACCAGATATCAGCACAAGAATCACCAACAGAAGAAGCGGCTCTGCACATCGCCATAATCAACAGCTGGCTAAAGCACGAGGCCTTCGCATCTCGAGTATCAAAAAATTGATAGCGGCGCTTATGACAATACAGACAACTGGTTCTCAAAGCATCCGACAAGTCGAATGACCTGTGATAGTACACAATTTCCCAATGAACAGGTTGGTCCTGGGGAGGTGGTGCCCGCTAGAGGGGAACAGAACAAAGCAAAGCAACTCCTCCACAGGTGATCCGATGAAACTTGGGGCCGAGAACCAGTGGGTGCTTAGCCGAAGCATTTCATTGACTGTCAAACAGGTTTCATGTAGGGCCAATTGCTAATTATGTCGACTGGGCTGAAGTTGAAACGGGTGATTTGGTCATCGGAACATGTGTTCATGCACTCCATGCAGGCAATTAACTGGTAAACCGAGTATATCTTTGTCTATTAGCACGTACCAGAGAAGTTAATTAGATCACGGCGTTAAAAAAGCTAAATATATCGATCCGGAAGTCGAATCGCCCTTAGGCGCCCAAAGAAGTAATTAAGCGACCAGCAGTCCCCGAATCTGGCGGTTAAGTGTTGCTAATTAAGGCGGGCTTAGGACGCTATCGGGCAAATCAGATCTTATCAAACCCTGAAAGTGGCCATCGTTCTTCGCATGGGCCATGGAGTTCGTCGCTTCTTGGTTGGCCGAGATTGTCTTGTTTTGGGGTTTTGGCGCCCTGAGGCAAATCCACCGCTTACAGCCAAGCCAATAGAGTTGGAACGCTCGAAGCTTGGCATGCACCTAGCGTACTGTTTTCACAATTTAACAGCGTTTCAGCAGTCGCCGAGGGCTCTTAGAAGGGTGTGATTGATCGATTTGAAGCCGGTCGCAGCCAATGATTAGCAGCTGGCCTGAATGACAGACAGGGATGGATCTCCCTTTGACATGCGGAACCAACACTAAAACTCTTGTAGGTACATACCTACGGTACCTACCTACCTATTACTACATAATGATTTATGCCTTACGGGAAGTGCGCATGCCACTGTCGAGTATTGGTCTCGCCCACGTCGGCATGAAGCCGGGTAGCTGAAGGATCTCCATATAACGCTGCAGCGTTGTTTGGATTTGTGCTCAATCACTACGGGCGATGGAGGTACATCTTACTCTATTGACAGAGAAGCACCTTAGTACAAGCTAATCCAATCCTTACAGCGAATAGTATAACGAGAAAACTCACTATTAGGGATCTTGATCGCCTATCAGAGAATTAGAACACGCGACGCCAAAGACTAGCTGCATGCCCTAAGCCAGGAACCCTGGCAGACATCCCCGCTCACCAACGCTCGTCACCCCCCAGTTTAATGATCCCAAATTTAGTTTCTAGACGCCTGTTATTCGCCGCGCGCATCAGATCGTCCCCCGTCAGCGGTTGGCACATCGACTCGACTTCCACCATGCGTGCAAGCAAAAAATAGAAGCATCTAAGTCGGATAGACCTTCACCAGATTGCATTTAAGGACAGCGTCTCCAGAGATTTAAGGCATCATGGTCGGCATCATCACAGTGACTCAATCACAGCTTTCCCAAGCTGCCTCGTCTGTTATACATTTGCAGTTCACAAGAGCTTTCTGTCCGCCTATAAGTGTCTTCTGCTGCATACCAATTGCACCAACCAACGCCAACACGAGATCGTATCGACCGTTGGTCGATTCTCAATCAGCCGTCGACATTTAAGAGCGCCCATCTGCCTTTGGTCTTCCTGCTTAAGCCCTTCTCCTCTCGAGATAGCCAAGCGCCCATTATGTCAAGCACCGCATCGCGTACTACTCAGGCCAATTTTACTGGAGTTGGTAGGGCCACTGAGGGGGGTAGAGGTCGTTCCTCTAGAAGGCCAGCGAGCCACAGACGTTCGCGATCTGGTTAGTCTCCACGGCCTCCTCCACGCACAGTACCTTTGAAAGCACCTTCAACGACATAAATATCTCCACCTCCCCGCAACGGAACTAACAGGTCTGTTGTGTAGGATGCTACACTTGTCGTCTTCGAAGAAAGAAGTGTGACGAGACACATCCAGTCTGTGGATCCTGTGGTAGCTTGAGACTCAACTGCGAGTACAGCAAGCCAGAGTGGTGGTCAGATATGGAACATCGACAGGTTGAGAGGGACCGTATCAAGGAGATGATTAGGGAGACCAAAGTCATGGAGAAGCAAGCCAGGCTGCAAGGTATTTGCCATTGAGAACCCAATAGCGAATGACTTGATCCTAACATTGTGCTTTTGTATAAGGGGAGTTGGACAAACTTGTTCCCAGACCTACCACCAAGTACGACTTCAGCGCGCCCCCGGAGCACGGCAACTCAAATGCTGGGCCTTCTAATCAGCTTATGCCTACTTTGCCTTCTCCAAGTCAACTGTTGTCTAGCATGCCTCCTCCCCCAAGCCAACTTATGCCTTACATGCCTCCCCAAGTGACCACATCTGTCTCGTATCCGCATGGAGTCAATGTTCAAACTGAACAAAGGACTTTGGTTCATGATAGTGCTGCTCCCGCTTCATTCAATACAGTGGCAACGCAGCAGCCATATGTGCAGCAACCCAACATGCAACAGCAATATGCACAGCAGCCATATGCGCAGCAGACCAATGTACAGCAATTCGACATGCAGCAGCCATACACACAACAGCCATATATGCAGCAGCCCTACATGCAGCAGTCATACACCACGTACCCCACTATGCCAGGCGGCGGATGGTACCCGGGTTATACCCAGCAACCTCAATTCCCCAACGTTCCTAATACAAGGGAGTCAGGTTCAAGCAAGAGACCATTGTCCTGCTATCTCCCGGCTACAGTACACGATGTTGATCCTCGGGAAAAGCGGCTCGTGTTTCACTTCGTCGATAACGTCTTGGGAGCGATCTTTCCCGTTCTTGACGTCCACCAGAAGGGCCTTTCTCGCTTCCGTGAGATTCTCAAGTCCTTGGAGAGTAACAAGTCTTACTATCATTGCTCCCTTAGTGTGTCTGCCATTCACCTGAAGGGCATGCCTGGAATCAACAAGGAGGATATGGAGAATGATGTTGTGCACCATCGGTTCCAGGCAGTTTCGCATCTCTGCCAGTCGTTGAATGTGGATCATGGCCACGATGCTATGTTGGACGCAACACTCGCGATGATCTTCTTCCACGCCTCTGTGGGTGGACCACTCGACCACCAGCCAGACATTCCATGGAACGAGCACTTCGGCGCTGTGACCAACCTTGCCAACAAGCTTAATCTCATTGAAGCTCGCCCAAATAAGAAGCTTCCATTCAGGATGTCACTTACAACATGGATTGATATTTTGGGAGCTACTATGCTGGGCAGATCCCCTCAGTTTGCACACGCCTACCGCACCAAGCATTTGAACGGAATCTCTTCCGGTTTAAAAGAGCTAATGGGCTGTGAGGATCGGGTCATGTACTTGATCTCTGAGATTAGCTGTCTGGACTCACTGAAGTCAGAGGGCCGTCTCGATACTCAAGGGATCAACCACCACCTTTCCGCGTTGACCACACAGCTCGATCATCTTGAGCCCACCGATCGAACTCTAGATGATCCCTATTCCGCAGCAGGAGAGATCAATTCCGGTATTTTAACGAAGAATATTACTGCTGCATTCCGTGTCGCCACTCGGATCTATCTCTACAGCTTGGCACCTGGGTTTGATCGCAAACAGGAAAGCATCGTCAGCTTGGTTGAGCATTTCTCGAGTGTTCTACGCTACATCCCAACAGGTCCTTATGGCTTTGATCGCGCGCTCGTCTGGCCGCTCTTGATAGTCGGAGTTTACTCAACTGAGAGAAGTGCTTTCCGTGGAATTTTGGCCCAGCGTTCTACAGCTTTGGGAGACGCAGCTGACGCCGGCAGCTATGGCCGCATGTACCGGCTTCTAAAGGAGGTTTGGAGAGTCACAGATGAGCCGCAGACATTCGCCACTTCTACCGACGGGATGATATTCCCTTCAGAGAGATTGAACGACGGATCGTTACAAATGTCTGCGCCCATCAACAGAACAATTGGACAGCCGCTCAAGAAGCGAACCGGCCACTGGCGGGCTGTCATGAAGCGCCTCGGATGGCGCTTTCTCCTTGTCTAGGTTTCAACACCTGGACATCTTGAATAAGCAAAATTGGAACTGGCTGGTATGCCAAACCCCGTTGACTTTTCCCATCGTAAGACCATTCTAACCAGAGGGATACTATAGTGGCCCTACATCCAATCTGCAGGTACAAAGCTACAAATTCTGCCGTTTCTCTCGAGGACCCTATTGATATTGATGCTTGACCTATTTTTTACGCGTTGCTATTCAGTTAGTTCTGCCTGCGTGCTTCTGCTTTTGGCTTTTCCGGCTTTCTGTTTCGGCTTTTATGCTCCCAACTACGCTTCTTTCATTATGACACCCCCACTGAGTTGTTGCTTCTTTCTGCCGTACTTGTTCGCTTCTTTATTTTACTTTTCATGCCCTTTTACATTCCCGGGTACTTGACAGGAGACCGATATGGACTGCATGAGCGATGAGCACGAATTCGTTGAAGGGAATATCCATTCATTAGATAATGTATATGATTTAATGGCTTCAGTTATCTAGTTAGTTAGTTAGTTCTCTTTGATGGATCTTTGAATTGACTTATTTTTATTATTTATTCTATACCCATGGACTTACTTGGTCATCAATCGTGTAAAGGTGCCCTGTGCCGACAACATGGAGTTACCCTGTAAGCTCCTTATGGACGAAATTTGATCTAAGTAGAAATTTATGGCTTTCACCAACTGCGAATTACCATTCAATTGGTATTTATTTGCTTAAGTCAACCTTTGTAAATGTTGATAATCAGTAATAGCGTTGCCTCGTACATAAGGCACCGCGGGACACATGTCCCTACTACCACCTACAGAACCGCAACCCTATATGCAAGGGTCACCATCTGTATCTACAACCCATACATCATCAGGGATCAGACGACAAAGAAAGAGTAAACAATATATCGTATACAAGATAGAAGAAAATGCATCAAACAGTCTTGTTACCCAAACATCTGCAGTGGCAGAATCAGAACTAGACCAGGGGTGTTGGACATTGGGTAACAAAGAAGGGCGGGGCGAAGGAAAGGGAAAAGGAGACCCAACCGAACAAGCGATCTAGCAGAGCCTTGCAGAAGGGCAGGACTAGTCTCGTGCGGCTGAAAAGGGGAGGGGGAAATTGCTCAACGGAAGTGTAGGAAGGAATCTTATTTGTGGCTCTAGGCACCACGGTGTAGCCGCCGACTTAATATGAAGGCGCACACTTCCGCAAACTATCGCACCCACATCACAATCCTTAAGCGCTGACCCGACTCCACGGCTCCAATCCCGTCACCCCATCATCCGTATAACGACATATAACCAACCATCTCCATACGCCGAACTCCTGACCAGCTCCTCGACTGGTGCTGACATAGGCACAGCGGCACCATGGAGCACGGGCTTCGCTAACACGGGCGTTCTCCGACTGGGAAACAAGTGCGGGAGTAACGAATGCAAAGCCGAGCCCACCGTCTGCGTCTGCGGTGTGATACTACTTCGCGAAAGGGCCAATTGGCTAGCCGCCACGCTGGCGGGGGGGATCGACGGCGGGACGGGGGACTGAACTACTTTGAGAGAAGGAGAGCCAGAGTCAGGAGGGAGGGGGAGAAATATCCGAATTGGAATGTTACGGAACGGCTGATTGAGAGGGGGGAGGAGAATATTCGATATTCGTTGGAAGGAGGGGAGTTCCACTGCCCTTGGTTTAGCTATTGTTTCTTGGGTATTTGATATAGTATTTTGATATGGGAGGGAAGGGGGGAGTTATCATACCATCCTGTACAGACTTCCATAACCCAGATGAATCCTCCTTGGAGAGACTCATGATACCCTTTGCAGTCCCGTTTCGCAGAAAATCCGCTTCCTTGACGCTGTTGATGAACGCGTCGTTCATGACCATCCCGTCCGCGTCCAGTCGGACCAGTTCTTCATCTGGCCAGTCGCTGAAGTGGACGACTAGACGCCACGGTAATGGACTATCTTGGTCATCGATGTCCCATCCTGCGTCTTCTGACTCGGCTGTCCCCTTGGACGCTGGGTCAGCGCCCGCATAGAGGTCATATAGCAGACCGATAGGAAGATGCCATTTGAGCGGCACGCCTTCGAAAGAGAACCATCCATCATGAGCATGAGAACTAGGGTCGATCAGCGAAGAGGCGAAGAAAGCCCTTAGTCTGGGTAGAAGGGATGGCAGATATGAGATTCGGGGATAAGAGATCTAGGCCGTATCAACATTGCCCCGGGAATTGACCATGATAGACATAGAGGGTAGAGAATTACAAGGTACGGGTCAGTCTGGTCGTATATGCGACTTTCTGATGGAGCAAGACTAATCTGTAAGGGAAGTCTGCCGTCCCATACGGCCTTCTGGATACTGTTGAGAGTTGCCTGCGATTCCATCTTTTGCCAGTTGTTCGATAGTAGCAGTTTAAGCTTGCTTGTCTACGACGAGAGGTTAGCATGTTGCTCAATACCCATCATACATGGTCTTGGATACCACGACTTAATTCCTGGATTATGAGGACAGTCCGCGACCTCGTCTAACTACACGTTACAGCTGAGACTTTGAATCAGTTCAACATGGTCGAGGGGTCACGTCCGTCAACGCGATGTACACTGTCTATATAGGAGAAATATATCGCAGTGTGAGTATCTGTTAGTGTTTGTCAAGCGAAAGAAGAAGTACCACACTATCAACGTAAAAGGTGAGGCTGATGCAGAAAAGTAAGTCCAAATGTTTAGAGGGACGGAAAGTTGCCCGATTGGGATGACACGTGATATATGCCTGAGGCAAACTTGTTTTCACTATATATTCAGAGGCTCGAAGGTGAATCAACTCTGAAGCCTTCGGGCAATGAGGCATTCTGGGAATGTACATCCTAGGTGAGTCAGTAATAGCGATAATGTCAACATAATCTCAACTGGGCAATTCTCAGAACACACAGTTGGTCACTCCATATCATATATGCTATATTAATCTGCCCTTTCAAAGACCACCAATTGCCTGGTTTTGTTTAACATCACACTTAAACGGCTCCTTCAAAGCTCCCAGGGCTAAGATCGCTTTCAATAAACTAGCAGTATCGTAGATGATGCTATTTCCACCGTGTGATCGACTAATACAAACTATAAGTGCTCCAATCGCAGGTCGCAATCTCCCGTTGATCCCACTAGCCGTGAACTAGTTCAGTATCAGCGAGCAGAATTTGTCTGCCTACCAGATTGCTAGTTCCAGGCAAACCCACACGCACCCTGAGGGTGACTTCGAAGATCATCCGAGATGCGATGTTTGATCGCCCTCCAGCCGAACACCAACAACACTTAGCAGGCTGTAGTGGTTTACCAACGCTCTGGAACCACTACGATCCACATGCAATAGTACTTTCTACTTGCCGTCCACTCTGTCAGTCTGTCCATGGGAAGATCACAAACTATGGACTAATTGGAAACTTTTGGTTGGGATGATCAGGGCACTAACTGACCGCAGCCCGGGGAATCTTGCTCTGTTCCTTTCATCTACGGAGGTAGATTGTACCCTGCCACGGTGGAAACTGAACGAGGTGCAAAGAAAGTATCAGCACGAATTGGAGAGGCTGACGAAAAATAGGGCCCTGATTAGCGTCCGCCATCAAGCGATTCTCAGCGCCATTCTCCCACCTGAGACCGGACCTGTTTTCTCAATCCACCTAGGAACAAAACGGCTGGCGTCCAAACGTCCTTGTCGCTCGCCATGACTTATCGTGTAACTGTCAAGTGACATCACATACTTGCAGACGGTGTCCTGTGCCCCGAGCAATATGGAAAACCAGCTCCACCTGTTTTGCATATGAATGACCTGGCGAAAACGTGGCCTGGGATCATTCCCGGGTGAGAAAACATTATGTAAAACGCTGCAGGCCTGGTCATCGCATGAGTGATCTCTAACCTGGATAATAACAATGCAGGCCCATCAGTTGACCCAGTCAGACCCATCATGGTTGCCTAGCTGTTTGCCTTGAGGCAAGTTTCTGTTTGTCACTTCACACCAACGAGATGATCAGCACCGGTGCAATCTCCTCGTGATCTAGTCTTGGAGCGGTCTACCTCTCCGTTGTATCTGTCCTATTCCATCAGACTGACTACCAGGGCCCAGAATACCCAAGCATCAGGACGCGTATCTAGCTGATAATGGTATTTCCTCTTTCGATGAAAAACACATCTCCTCCAAGGTGATCAAAATTGATGGCAGGGATGCTTCTGTTGGCTTATCATATGCAATGTCATTATGAATGTGGCTTTCACGAGAGTTGCAGAGAGTTTCCCTCCCATCCAGCATACACTCTTTAGGTTTTCCTCCATGGCCTCCCTTTGAGCGAGTAGACCCTGACTATACATGATGAGTACCTATTAAGTTCTCTATACTAGTAGAGTGAAATTCACCGATAGAGCAAGTGACACAGTATTGGGAGATTCTTACCATTCTCCCAGCGTCCGGAAGCCTACCGAGACCTTAGGGGAAAAAAAAAAAATCACCTCAGAGAGAATCCGACAGAGGGCGGCCAAACCTCACTCGGACATGACCAGCCTATCTCTGTCTATTGATGGGGAAAGAGGAAGAAGTAGTCTTGCATCTGGTATTTACGAAGGCCCGTCTGACCTACGAGAAGCGATTGCAAAGCCAGTCCGGCTATGGCGGTAACAGCGGGTTATCAACTTTGCTCAAGAATGTGCTAAGGGTGCAACGTCCCGCATCAACACCTCCAGAATTTTGCCAGAATCACATCCTATCATATACGAGGGTAACACAAGGTGAGATTGACTACATGATTGCATCCTTGGCCGAGACAACTGGAAAGTGTCTGAGATGTTTCGCATGGTCCTCTAGTCATCTAGTAATTTTCTCAATCACTATGTGCCCTCATTGGCTCCATATGCGTTGGGCCTGGAGCATGGGGTGTGGAAACGTGGGGTGGAATCTAGTCATGAGATATGGGCTGTCGTCTAGTGTACTAAAAACGGATTCCTAGCTTCGTGGCACCCCGAGGGCAATTTCACTTGTTTCAGGGTCTTGATGGACAACACCTTCGTCTGTCATCCTTTCAAATGATGCTAGTAAAGGCATATGACATCATCGGGAGATTGCCCTATCTCTGTGCTATGTAGAGCTGTGAGTGTGTTTGCATGCCAGACTAGAACATCCAAGGCTGGGTCATGAGATCGACTTCAAACATGCATTGGCGAAAAATAAACAAGGGACGGAGGAGAAGAAAAAAAAAACAAAAGAAAAAGAAAAAGAAAAAGAAAAAGAAAACAAGCTACAGGTAAGCCTAGGCCGAGGACGATGGATACACGAAATTTAGTTGTTCAATACTACCAATAGACAACAGCATGTAGTAATACGTTGAGGTTTAGGTATAGCGTATGCCATTTCCTTGCGGACTTCAGCGTCCCACTTGTATCAACTAGTCCTTTCTTTGGGAAGTACCTCGAGTGCCTACATCCGCTGACCAGAATCTACACTTTCCAAGCTTGGTAAGAGCAATTCAAGGGAAACCCTTGGCTAGGATGCCGAGAGACCGAATATGCGAATCGCTGAGATGAGACAAGAATGGCTAGCAACCCGGTGAGCGATCATAAACAGATCACTAGCAAAAGAAGTGGAGCTGTCGGCAGTAGCCGATTGTCAATTCATTTCGTTCTTGTCAAGTGCTCGCCAAATAGAGGCCTCATCAGCTGCTGTCGTCACCTCACAAGTGCCTCTGGGCATCGAATTGAATAAACATCTGGCGGCTGTTTCATCTTTTCTGCACAGGCATAGGTTATCACCCTACCTCTTTTTCTTTTTTCTTCTTTTTCTTTTTTTTTTTTTTTTT